CTCTCACGTCATATATCACGACGAAGGGCGGACACTGTCCTTCTTCGAAAGTAAGGATTGGGAAGTTCCAAATTCTGTATGACAACAACACCTCGTTTTATGGACTAATATTGCGCTTTAAAGATGAAGCATAGAAAAAAGAAGTTAAGTACATACTGGAATCAGTACAGTTAGTTAACCATTTCTTCAGTACAGTTAGTTGACTAATTCTTCTTTTGGAATGAATTCAATATTCTTGAAGCCAGGGCTGATCTTGAGTCCCAATAGACATTCGAAGCAAGGGGCGTCATCGAAAGGGCAGTCTTCCTCGTAACTGGAGAAAGATCAGGGTTTGATTTCTAATGATGGAATGATATATTTAGATGTATGTCTTCACGTACGTGTCGCCTAACAAAATCCGTGTCTTAGTGTGAAAAATCTTTGAGTCTTATTAATCAATCCTATATTCCTTTATTACTCTGTGGTTGTGTGTAAGCTCTGACGACAAATGCACAACTCTCATTTCTTTTCTGATCTAATAATTATTTTTCGTTTGTTGAACTCAGTTTGAAACGTTTTGAAGTGTTATTTATCGTAAATTGTGACGTACAAGACGACCTGACGTAAGTTAACCTGGCGTACAATTTGACCTCAAAATTTCGGCGTATAGGTCGGCCCTCAAATATACGATAGACTACCAGTGGCCCAAAAAGTAGACCTACCGGTAAATGAAGTTAGGCTACAGTATACCATAACCTGTGCCAAAACTATATAAGGTCACACTACTTACCTGTATATTGAGACAGTAACCGTTATATATTTACATATACGTTGTATAGAAAATAACCTACAACACATATTGGTAGATATATATTGTTTTATAACTTAGTGAATATTTTAAATTCATCAGTTCTACTGATAAACCCGTTCAATATCAATTCCTATCGACAATTGCTGTCGTTATTATCATGAAATTGTGCAGATGACACGCATACCATACCACTTATCTGAATGACTGTCTGAGTTAAGCGGCACATCGGTCAGTATTTAAACTTAATATATCAGCTGTTGGACGCGATAAGTGTTGCAACATCAATAGAATACTGAATTTGTGTTACTATTTTATTATTTTATATTAATTCATGTGTTAATGTACTAAATGAGTTCAGAATCATAATTTTTAGTGGAATATATTTGTGGCAACCAGCTGAAGGTAGGTAAGCACTGTTAGGAGTCCTGTCCAACTTGCTGGTCTACCGCTATTTCCATGTTTTGATGAACTACATTCTTTAGTCCCATATTTCCTTTACAAGTGGAATCCACCATGCCACGTACACAGGTGTGAATCATCTTCATTCTCTTCGTATTCCAATAGTAAGTATTAAGTTACATTCGGATACATTCTTTCCAAGATTTACTACGTTGTGGAACAGGCTCTAGGCAGAATGTTTTCCCAACCTTTTACTATCTTGACCTCTTCAAGTCTGGGGTTATCTATCCCTGTATAGCCCCATGAACTTCACTTCTTTCCCTTTCTTGCGCCCATACGGCAATACATTCTATTTTGAGTGGTTCTCGAGCCTTGTATTTGGTGAACATTAATATTAAAAAGACCCAAAAAATACATTCGTCTGAAGTTATTTAATCGTTGATCTGATAAAAGGTTATGTATAAATAATTGTTTAGGCATTTCTCAGACAGCTTATTTTAATCTAGCTCAATGCTGTAGTGAATGGTAAGCGAAGTAGGTTTGCTAGCCATTGCTCACTGGCAGGGATCTATTGATACTTCAAGGGTATGCAACTGCTGCTTGCGATTTTTTCCTTTGACACCTTTTCCCTTTCAGTTTCACTTCCTCCGTTTCTATTTTCCTACTGAGCCTCGTTTTCAGATTTTCTTCTTCACGCTACTGTTGTTCCCCTTTTACTATTAGCAGCCCCCCCCTTTTTTCCCTTTGAAAAAAAAAAAAAAAATTAAAAATCGATTAAAATAGGGGAAAACGCTATAAACAAACGCATTGCACTTCAACAGTTAACAGTCGTTAAGAGGGAAGGGTTTTCGTTTTAGTGAGGATTTTTAGTCTTTTAAGATTTTTAGATTTTTTCTTTCAGTGTTACTTTTCTACTTTGTTTTTCATGAAGACGAATTGGCAGGATGGTCCTTCCATTTGTGTGTGAGCGTACTTGTATGTACGCACGCGCATGCGCACTGGATATTGTTTGTATAATCGCGCGGATCTGCGAAGGTGCACTGTTCTTAAATGTCTGGTTCTCATCAAATGAAAAATAGGAGATGAAAAATAATCCCGGTTTTGCCCATTTGTAAAACTGAGATACAAAATGAAACCGATGAATAAGAAATGAAGAAAATGAAGAATCGTTACTGAGGATGGAAAGAAAGAAAGAAAGAAAGAAAGAAAGAAAGAAAGAAAGAAAGAAAGAAAGGAGGATATGTTACAAATGTGACGTGAAAGGAATGAATAAATTATAAAAAGAAGGAAAAACGTTAAAAATGAGACGTGAAAAAGAAAGAAAGAAAGAAAGAAAGAAAGAAAGAAAGAAAGAAAGAAAGAAAGAGAAAGAAAGAAAAAAGAGAAAAAGAAAAAAAGACGTGAAAAATATGACAGGAAAAATAACTAAATTAATGGGTCATAAAAATAAGAACAAATAAAGAAATAACTCGGCCTGAAAAGAAAATAAAGCTAAGTGAAAATAAGACGTGGAAAGAAAGAAAGAAAGAAAGAAAGAAAGAAAGAAAGAAAGAAAGAAAGAAAGAAAGAGACAAACAGAAGAGGCGTGAAAATGTGACGTAAAAAATGATTGAATGAATGAATTATAAAAAAAAAAGACAGAAAAAACAACTAGGCGTGAAAAGAAAAAAGCAAACGTGAAAATATGATGTGAAAAGCAAGCAATCAAGAAAGAAAGAAAGAAAGAAAGAAAGAAAGAAAGAAAGAAAGAAGAAAAAGGAGTTCGACGAGCAATGGTGACAAAATATTGGGAGCGAAATTAAAAAAAAAAGAAAAAATTAGGAATGCATGAACAGAAATCAGAAATTGAAAAAAAAAAGACGTGATGATTAAAAAGTTGGAAAATATATATAAAAACAGATAAATTAAGTAAAAATATTGTAAGGAAAAGTGGTCGAAAAATCAAGAGAATACATTGAAAGGAGTGTTAAGAAAGGGAAAGAAATCAATGAGGGAAAAACGAAGAGCAATGTCTGCTCACAACATCACTCCAAGAAAAAACAAAGATCAACATGATGTTGTCGATGGTGATTATGATGATGAGACAAAAGTGGTCGATAAAAGAACGGGGAAGGTATGTTCCATGGGGGGACATTTAAAAGGGCGGGGGAATCTTCGGAGAGCGAGCTGGGCGGATAGTTGGGAGCTGAGTGCAGCAGATGGCCGTGAAGGTGGTGCAAAGAAATAAGGTGGAGGGCGCGAATATCGTGGTAACAATAATCAAAGTTGTTGTCTGCTTTCGGTGATAAAGGTGGAAAGCTATACGGGTAAGGCACTGAACGTTTAATGTGGGAGACATAATAAAAAGAGTTATATTAGAAGAACAAAAACACTGAAAAAGAGAGACGATAGAAGTAAATGGCTGAAAGGTAAGGAAGAAGATTATAAAATGGAGAGTGAATGAAACAAAAGAAGAATGAGCAGAAGAAAATATACTAATGAAATCATGATCATGAAACAGAAAGGATGGAAAATACACTGTCAAATTGTATATTACGTGAGAAAGATAAAAAAATAACGAACAGATATAATATAAAATTCTTCATAAGAAACTACAAACAAATATAGAAATATAATAACGTATTATACACACTGGTGCCAGTAGTCTGTGCTTCAGCCATGATAAAAGTTTAATTTAAAATAATGATTTTTAAAGCTGGCAAACCTTCTCCAATTGGAATATAAGCGTAACATGACCTTCCTTTCATTATTTCTAGAGTTTAAATAGTTGTAAAACGTTTACCAATGCCAGACGTCAATATTTGAAAAGCCAGGATTTCCAATGCTGATACCCGAAGGTTTAAATTCTCTCAGTCTGCAAGACTAGGGAAACTGTACCCATTTGATCTTGCACTGTTCTTAACTAAAATCAATAAATATTTGTAATGTATAATACGCATAGAATAACAACATTATAAGACACACAATAAAGAAAGAACAATAAAAATGATAGAGGGGGGGGGGAAGAAAAATAAAACAATTAAATATAACTTACAAGAAAAAAAATTAAAAATAAGAACAAAAAGAAAAAGAAGGAAAATTCTACAATACTGCATAATACGCAAGAAAATACAAAATGTGTAATGAATGAAAGTGTGCGCGTGTATTTATGAGTGAATGTTAGAGAAGAATTAATTTATGAATGGAATTTTGATGAATTGAGAAAGTTGTAAAAGCGTACGGAAGGACACTGCCCATGAATGCGTGAAGCGCCTGTTATGTGAATACGCAATGGTAACCAGTGAATGCATTGATGAATAAATTAGTGTATTGGAGAAAAAAAAAACGAGCGAATGAAAAATGCGCAAGTCTGAGTGAATGAATCTGCTTTAAACGAAGGCAAAAATAACTGGTGATCTGAACAACTAAACGGAATATTCAACAAGTAACAAAAAAGGCGGGAAATATTTTTAAAAATTCAATTAAGATATTCAAGAAAAAGGATCAAGGTGGATCATTTGATAGCGAAGGAAAATGGGGGGGGAATGACAAACGGATAACACAAAGAAAAAGTAAATGGGAAACGAAATTATCGTGGATGTTAAATATAAAAGACTGAACCGCAAGTGAGAGAAAAAAAAAAGCAGTAATTGATCAAAAACCAAAAAAATAGTCGAGATTATAGAATCTATAATTCATCATCATCATCATCATCATTATCATCATCATCATCATCATTTAAGCTGAAGGCACACTGCAAATCAGAAAGACTTCTCATCTTCAGCATGGCTGATCGGTCCCGAGCTCAGGGGTTATTTCAACACTCACAGGCTTACGGCCATATCAAGTTGAAATACCGGTTTTCTTTTCGATCATCAGAGTTAAGCAACCTCGAGCATTGACAGTACCTTGATGGGTGACCGTTTGGGAATACCAGGAGCTGTAAGCTTGGATATGCGAGTTGTGTAATAGCGGAATGAAATTAGATATTCGGAGAACCTAGTTTCAATTACAGTTGTGTTCGTTATATTTTCATAGGCGCAAATCCTCTTGGGTGAGATATGAACCCACCTCTTCTCCCTTAACTATGGGTTAATTAGTAGAACGTGCATCAGTAAAAATGAACATTATCTCAAAAAAAACCTTGCTATCTAAAAATGTTTTCTGGCTTTAAATAACCTGAAAATTGTTGACAAGCAGTAAAATAAAGAAATCAACACTCACAAGGCCAACCTGTGTTTTATACTACAATTACTTACCTGGCGTTATGCTGGGGGTTTTGACAAATATTGGATCGTTTCTTGGCCTATGGCTGAGATTCGATCAAGGCTTCGACTAGTTTGGACTGGCTCCGGCCTGGACTTGCTAGGACAAGTCATGACCAGCTTTGACTAAGCTCTGACCAGCTTGGACATGCTATGACCAATTTTGACCAGTGGCCTTTAAGTGGAAACACTCGGGTTTCCCACGTTAATCGACCTTGTGTCAAATCTTGACCTTGTGGGAGTCAAGTAAATACCTATACTACAATTAAGCTGTGCAGATATTACTTACAGTTTAAGCATGTAACTCACCAGCTCCACATACGATTTTGAATTCAGAGATATCCTCTCGCTTCGATTGGTAGCCAACTACGCCTACAGAGTTAGATCTTCCCTACGATTTCACCGATAGTTGGAAAGCTGGATCAAAACTTTTTCAAGTGTACGAAAATGAATGTAATGAACTCGAATCCAATTCTGATTGACTCGTTGATTTATCGTTCCAAGTCGCTAACAACCTGCAGCTAATCCCACGGGTCAATTGTGAACTCCATAATTTTTTTCATTACTCTATAGCATGCGTCTCGCTAGGGCAATATACGGTGTTTTGAATTCAGAGTTATCCTACTCCTAGACTGGTTTCCAACCACGGCAAGGGAGCCAAGTCTACCCTGCTAATTAACCCATATCCAGGGCAATTAGTGAGAAAGTTAATATAACTGCTAGAATTCGATTAATTAATATTAATTATTATAACAGCTAGAATTCGAACTCGACTCTCGTATTTCTCTTTTCAAACCGGTAACCGCTGCACTAGTCGCACTTTGATTAAGATTATCTTTAAATAAGTAAAATAAATGAAAGATTTATCTTTTTTGTGGATTATAAACATTTTCTAAAGTATTTAAAACCGAAACATATTTTGGAATTCTAATATATATATATATATATATATATATATATATATATATATATATATATATTTAGTTTATGACAAACTAGGTAATCCGTATGGGTAAACCTAAGGAGGATAAAATCCAGAGAGCTCAATGTAAATCCAGAGCAAATAATTTAAATAAAAAAACAGACCACTTTAAAGTTCCATGTAATAAATTATTTCACCACAGCCCTTTTAAAAGGACTGCGGATCATCAGATTTTACTTCCAAAGGTTGAAACAAAAATGAAAAGAAATTCACACATTTTTGACGGGCCGTATTATACATATGTAAATTAACGAAGAGAGGAAGTGAGGGAGAGAGAGAAGACATAAGTGAGTTAGCAGACATTGACACATTCAAACGGTTAACTTAACGGAAGTTCTCACTCATGTCTTCTCTCTCCCCTTCACTTCCTCACTTCGTTAATTTACAGATGTTTAATATGACCCGTCAAAAATATGTGAATTTCTTTTTTTCATTTTTTGTTTCAAACTTTTGGAAGTAAAGTTCGATGATCCGCAGTCTTTAAAAGGGCTGTGGTGAAATAATTTATTACATGGAACCTAAAGTGGTCTGTTTTTATTTACACACACACACACACACACACACACACATATATATATATATATATATATATATATATATATATATATATATATAATCGACTCTCCTGTCGCGTTCGACGTATGAGGGTCAGGCCGATAAGTCCCCAGGAAAAACCGACATCCCGACACCGGCACATGAGATTTGATTATAGTGGTGAAGGCCTCGTGCAGGACCAGCCACACTTTTTGAGGGACGAATACAGAAACCTGGTGCACCGAATGCATGCCACAAGGTTCCCAAACGACCCTCCGCAGGTTTTGAATTCAGAGTTGTCCTTCTCCTAGACCAGTTGCCATCCAAGGCTATAGAATCAGTCTGTCCTACTATTTTACCCATAGCTAGAGGGGGAGATGAAGAGGATACATACCTTTCCCAATATATATATATATATATATATATATATATATATATATATATATATATATATATATATATTAGAATGCCACCTCCCTTTTTAAAAATATGTCCTATTTCAGGCCCATGATGTCTTATTCTAAGGCCAGTCATCATTAACGTAACAAGTCTTTCCTGTGGGCCAGAGACCGGTACAATGTTTGTGCCATATAATAATATAAGTATCCGTGGAAATATTTGAACAGTTGTCGTATTATTCATTTATACCAGAAAATATAATGAATATAATAAACTTTGCATCATTGTTTTATTTTATATTGATTTTGTAGAAAAATATGCCCATGAAAACGGTCTTTTGGTATCCCTACGTGTGGTCCCCACACAGTCACACGCCACATCATCAGGATGGGGCTATTTCATTTCACTGTTTCACTCTTCCTTATATTGCTTTCGTTAGTTGCATAGCAATGACTTTTAACATGAGTGAGTAATTGAAAAATGTAACCATAATAAATATAAAACTAAAATGAAAATATTAAAAAAAAAAACGAGTCAGATATCCCGGCAGTCCCACGTGGCGTGGAATGTGACTACTGTTTCTTTGTTTCCTCCGCGTACCGGCAGACGATGAATCGCGTACCGGCACCAGTATGCATACCACACTTTGAATAGCACTGGACTAGGCTATTTTGAGACAATCCTAAACGTAGAACTTGAAAATTTTAATCCTCATAACCTTTTGAAGGTTATCTAAAAGTAAATAATGTTTATAGCTTTCGCAATACTTAGGAACTTAAAGATTCCTCTTTTTACAGCGGACATATATATATATATATAGAGAGAGATGCCAGTAAAAGTGTTTTGGGGTCACTTGAAAACAGAAAAATGAACGAATAAAGAAAAGAATGTGTGAACAAAATGAGTGAATTAAAAGCTAACTAAATGAATGAATAAGACAAATTTCGAATTGTATGAAAATAAACGCGTTACTGGGATGAATTGTAACAGAAATTCTACAAAGGCATGGCAAGATACTAATCAGAGAAAGCTAACTAAGCAAGGAAAGAAGACACTTTTTTTTAATAAATAAATCCTCCTCAAACAAGGCGATAATGACATTAAGATGCAAGAGGTTATTGGGAACGAAAGATAAAGAGAAGACTAGAAGGAACCAGAAACCCAATCCTGCTCAGGAAATAAGGGATAAATCCCCACTCCGGTTCAAAAGACTGGGGAGGAGTGTGAACCGTAGTTAGAATCAGAAAGACAGTTGAAATCGACATATATACACACGTATATATATATATATATATATATATATATATATATATATATATATATATATATATATATATATATATATATATATATATATATATATATATATATATATATATACATATATTATAGGAGATTAAAAACAAAATTGTGTTAAAAATCGCTACACAATAGCAATCATGTTTCAACACTACAAATGTGTCTCCTCGGGCGATGCTAAATAATTGGCGAGTGAACGATTAGTTTAATTTCAAAAGCAAAATACTTCCTTTTTTGTTCGAAAAAGAAAACAGAATTAAAAGGAAGCTTGTAGGTTTTACCTCGATTAACCAATCAAATGTGATCAGCGCAAAATTCAAACTAACCGAAAAAATATATATACGTCATGACATGAAGTTGTTTGCATATAAATCCTAGACAATTTCATTCCGGATAGATACAAAAGGTTACATTATTTCATAAAATATATAAAAGTATGGCGTTCAACTTTTACAAGAAGTTAAATGGAACTGGGCATATAACTAGCTATCATTATGTTAAGTTACCGCCTCCCTAACTCTTTTGGCTTTAACTTCCTAGATGTCACTGAGGCACAAGGCGATACTGGCAGTGGAAGAGAAGGAGAAGACTTTAGACGGAACCAAGGGATAAACCTCTGCTCAAGTTCAAAAGACTAAGAATCTTTACACCTGTTCGAAAAAAATCCTTACTTAGAATCAGAAAGAAAGGGTTGAAATTTCTGGGACAAATAATCAGGAAAGAAGGCTTATAAAATTTGACACTCACAGGATATACTGAAGACAGAGACAAATACAGAGTAACCTAACTAACGCACTTGATTCTATAGTTGACAGAAAAGAGGCTTGAAATGATCGTAAAAAGAAAAACGTTACTAAAAGCTACAAAGGATAGGAAGTTGTGGGGAACAATGATCGCCCACACTCTGAAGCGATACGACACACAGAAAAAGGAAACAAAGACAACAAAACAATTTAGGCTTCCAGTTCTGTACATTTATTCATTATAAAGTGGAATAAATATATCCACATTTGCTTTAGCGTTTTCTACAAGAACGAAAAATTAAGGGCTTTCTAAAACTGGATAATAAGCGTAAAATATCTCCTACATACAGAGTTCGTATTTTTAAACATATCTCAAACTAAACAGCATCATGTTACTTAATGCAAGCTATCAAGCAGAAAGTGATGTTACCAGCGTGCTCCAGCGTGTAAAAAGAACAGGATAAATAAAGAGAAAGAAAATGACAAAAATTATTGAAAACATGACAATAGATGAAGAAGAGAGGCGAAGAAAGAAAATTTAATCCGAGCAAAAGATGGAAGTAGAGAGAGAGACACAGAGATAGAGGGAGTGAGAGGGAGAGAGAGAGAGATAAAATGACTAGGAGATATGAGAAAAGGTTTGAAAAAGCTGGATGGAGAAAATGGCGGATTGCTATCTTTGTTTTTGGTTTTGGACAGAGGCACTAGGCTTCATTGTGAAGCCATTTTGTTTGCATGGAATCTTTTCCATAGCAGCACTTCCGGAAGCTTCCGGTAACGTCGTATCTGATGGCCGCCATCGAGTCAAGTCATCAAAACTGATGGGGACAATTGATGCTAGCTGTGGGCGGAAGAAAGAGAAATAGTAACAACGAGAATGACGTGGAAAAAATGATGGAATAAAGAAGTAGAAAGAAAGAATTAAATAGAAAGAGAAAAAGGAAAATATACAAAGTGAACACGGAAGGTGGAGAAAGAAAGAAAGAAAGAAAGAAAGAAAGAAGGAAAGAAAGAAAGAAAGAAAGAAAGAAAGAAAGAAAGAAAGAAATGTAAAATTATTAAGAAAATGGGGGAAGAAAGAAAGAAAGAAAGAAAGAAAGAAAGAAAGAAAGAAAGCAATGTAAAATTAGGAAAATGGGGTATGAAAGAAAGAAAGAAAGAAAGAAAGAAAGAAAGAAAGAAAGAAAGAAAGAAATGAAGAGAGGAAGAAAGAAATATAAAATTACGAAAATGGGGGAAGAAAGAAAGAAAGAAAGAAAGAAAGAAAGAAATGAAGAGAGGAAGAAAGAAATGTAAAATTACGAAAATGGGGGATGAAAAAGAAAGAAAGAAAGAAAGAAAGAAAGAAAGAAAGAAAGAAAGAAAGAAAGAAAGAAAGAAAGAAATGTAAAATTATTGCATAAAGAGAGGAAAAGAATTAAATAAAGAAAAATGTTTTGGAACATACAAACAAACAAAAAAGAAACAAAGAATGTAAAATTATTACGAAAATGGGGGAAGACTACAGAAAGAAAGAAAGAAAGAAAGAAAGAAAGAAAGAAAGAAAAAAGAAAGAAAAATGAAGACATAATGTGTAAAAATGACAGCTAGTGAAAAATATGAAAGTAAAAATACGTAAATGTATAAATAGAAGGCATAAAACGATGAAAGTAAAAATGATAAAAATGAAATGGGATGTGAACTAGATAGTATTGAAGAAAAACAATTAAATTAGAAAGAAAGAAAATGAAAAACAAATTAAAAAAAACAAAGCTAGAAATCATGCCTTAATGAACAAGAAAAGAGAGACAGAAAGAAAGAAAGAAAGAAAGAAAGAAAGAAAGAAAGAAAGAACGAATGTAGGAAACGACAAAAGCAGTTGATTGAATTCCTGTACGCAATGCAACGACAGTAAAACAAGAAAAAAAAATATAAGCCTTAATTACCCAAAGGGTGGGACGAAACTGCAAGAGAGACTAAGTAATTTAACTTGCTTAACTAGATGTGTAGGGAGAATATATTAGATTAAGAGCGTACAACAAAACTCCCTTGCGCAGCGTTTATACAGACAGACCAAAATTCGTGGAGAAAAAAAAAAGCCAGGAAAAAGGTTAAAAAGAAAAAGAATAAAAGCAGCCAATGAGAACTCCAAAAAAAAAGAAACGAGTTCAGAGAACATTAAAGGGGACAGTGATTGAGGTGCCATTAGCCTCACCACACTAAACCCCAACTTCAGTAAGATGATCACCATTTCATTCGTGTACTCTGTTATTCGGATAACACCGGGATGTCGGCCATACCACTGTATCGGAGTGAGGATGGCGGCGTTGCTGAAGATAGTCCGCATGGATGGACGAACTACACCGCTGCCAACAATCTGTAGCTGGGGTTCTCCGTGAGTCATCGGCAAACGTTTCGTCTGCATCATACCAGGCCGTCCCTTCACAGCCCTCTGTTTTCTGCACAAACTCTTCTTGAATTTGTCTCCACACCATTACCCACGTATCTAAATAAGTGGAACGCGTCATCATTACAGCCTAGAATAGATGAAAAAATATATAAATAATAGTAATAATATTTTTTTTTAAATTATTACTCTTGTTGCTATTGTTAAATGAATTTAAAAAGAAAATGAAGAATAATTCCAAAAGCTATTTTTGCTTGCCACATCCATTCACGTTTAAGCAATCATGGCTCTCCACAGAGTCCTTTTTCCTTAATATGCGTGAATTGCTGTGGCTTATTGTTAAAGAGAGTAGTTCGATTGTTTATCAGTTTAAATATCATTGTTCCGCTGACTATATTAGTAGAACCAGTTGGAGGGTGCAAGTAAGAATAAATCAACATATGCCGGCTAGTATTCAAACAGGATAATAGAACATTTGCGCAGGTTTATCAATACATCCGGGTCTTCGATAGAAAAAATATTGATTAAATAATTGTTAATGTAGTAGGTCTAAACTTATAGAAAAGTTCTCGGTCTAAATATTGGAGAAAAAACATTTTAAGGATTTACAGCCATCCCTCTGTAAACAGAGGCAGTGGAATTTAAGTTTAAATGTAATTTGCCTACACACACACACACACACACACTATATATATATATATATATATATATAATATATATATATATATATATATATATATATACAATCTATATATATACGTATATATATATATATATATATATACATTAAATATATATATATATATATATACAATATATATATATATACAATCTATATATATATATATATATATATATACAATATATATATATATACACAATATATATATATATATATATATATACACATATACAATATATATATATATATATATATATATATATATATATATGTATGTATGTCAATGTGAAAAAAGTTTACTGGTGACGCGTTTCGACTTTTAGGACTTGATTGGACTGAACGACTTCAAGGAGGAAACGCGTCACAAGTAAACTTTCTTAAACATTCTCCCCAATATTGTTCTTCATACATAAAAATATATATCGTCTGTCTATATATATATATATATATATATATATATATATATATATATATATATATATATATGAGATTACGATATATATTTTTATTTATTAACCCGACATGTTTTATCGCTTTAAACGTTATTCTTAGCGGATACTCATATTTGAAAAGACGCCCTGTTTATTTATTAAACAGTATATTTATTTTCATCTATCTCTGCATATTCAAGAAATCTTATTAAAAAAATATGCTATCTCCGGCAGGATTCGAAATAGAACCCCTCCACTTCCTGGGCAGAACCCCACACGGCTACGTAAACGAGTTCGAACTAGCTGGAAAGTGGTGATTGTGCAGCTCCAGCTCAGGTATGGCAGAATTATTCCATCTTTATGACAAAAGTGAGGCACTTTCTGGAACCGACCGTTTTTCAACTATTTTTTTAATGATCGATAGTCTGTATGAATTCCACCTGAGTTTTGGATAAACTTGCATCCCAGTAGACACTAAAAGCAAGGAACATTGCTAAAAATGCAATGATTTATCATGACTGGAGAAATTCATTGTCTGCTCGACAATGATGAAAGATTATTATCTTGGTTTTTGAGTTATTGAAAGTTACAAGACAGCTTTTCCCCAATTGAAATGCTAGAGGTTGGTCAGAGAGAGGACCAGCTGCCATGATCGCATCAGCTTGATTTTTTCGAGGTGCACCTATAAATTGTCACCCGAAAAGATATTGACAAATGTTCTGGGAATGTTCCCATGCGGATCATTAATATAAAGCAGGATGAGGATAAGATCGATGAGATTGTCTTGGGGATGCAACGTTTTCATTTTTCGGCGAGGTTTATTTCTTCTTTTCATTGAGTTTTGATGAATTTTACTGGAGATCAAGTGACAGCAAATCCCAATACTGTAGCATTCCCCGTAGTATTCTATCTGATTCTATGTTGTAGTTTTTCTCCATTCTACATAGTATTCTCAGTTTTTCAAATACCTTCCATTATTATTATTATTATTATTATTATTATTATTATTATTATTTCCTTTGATTTCTAGTGTATACATATTTCTTATCGAGTCTCAATCAGCGACTTAATGTCAGAAATGGCTTCATGACATTTTCCACTGATTATTTTTTGTAAGAAAACAAAAAGAAAATAACATCACACATATTTACATAGATAAAACTCTTTGTAATGTGTGAGCCGTACTTTTAAGTACAATAGTGCCTTGAGATACGAGTTTAATTCATTGCAACACCGAGCACGTAACTCAAAAGACTCGTATCTCAAATCAATTTCCCTTATTGAAATTAATGGGAATATTTCCAATCCGTTCCAGGCCCCGAAAAATCATTCTTATTTTCCTAAAACTCACACCCACTTTTGTATTTGTTTGTTTCTTACAAGCAACACAGTGTGAATAAACAAGAAATATAGTTTTCAAACAATAAAATAAAAAAGAAAAGACAAATTGTATAGAAATAAATTATCCTAAAGCATGAAGTTCAGACGACTCATTAGGCCAATAGGCGGTATGAGAAAGAGTGAGACAACAACAGTTAGTTTAGTCTACCATACCTACGATTAACTTTATTACTTAATTTTTTTAAACATTTTATCCATTATTGTTTTTTAATTTAATTTATTTAATTTTATAACTTTTTACTTATCGTTTATCTAGAACGCTCATATTGTCTAAGCAAAATCTATTACTCTTTCGTCATTACTTTTTACTTTCTTCACTAAAAGATTTTTTTTTTCAGAATAAGAGCAAAAATGACAAAACACAACACAACTGTGATCCTTTCAGATCCTTCCAGAGCGAGGAAATCCTTTCGAAGCTTGGCTCTTGCTGTTCCAACTAGCGTCTGATTAACTGAAACTTGCTCGTATCTCAAAATTCAGCTTATATATCAAGGCAAAAAATTGGCCGATCTCCGGCTCGTATCTCAGAAAACTCGTATGTCGGTACCCTCGTATCTCAGAAAACTCGTATGTCGGTACGCTCGTATCTCGGAAAACTCGTATGTCGGTACTCTCGCATCTCAAGGCATTACTGTACAATTTTCAATTTCCAGGCCTTTATGCTGAGATAGTTTTTCAGATTCCCTGGCTGCTATGTTACAATCCTCTGGCCAATTAGTAGGCAAGTTTTTTTTTTCTTTTCGGGTTTTGACAATTATGTCCGGCTTCTATCTTCCTGTCTGTAAAGAGGGTGGAATCCCATAGAATTGTCTTCTATTTTTGTTGTATATACATTTCCTTCCGGGTCTCAAACAAAGACCTAAGTTCAGAAATTGCTTCATGACATATTCCACTAAGCTTTTTTATAAAAAAAAAAACCTAAGATCACAGACATTTTACATAGATAAAGCCCTTCATAGTGTGTGATCTTTGTTTGTAAGTATAAGCATAATTTTGTGTATTTCTTTAAGGCATGAACTACCAGGAATCCCTTCAATGAGTTTATCGGAACCTTTTTCTCATCAATCTGAAGGCTCCAACCACAATTGGAATTATTGATGTCCTCATGTACCACATTTTAGAAATTTCCATTTCAAGATCTTTGTATTTTGATATTTTTGTGAAGATCTTCAAAAATACATTACGATCAGCAAGAACTGCCATGACAATAAGAAAGCGTGTTCGGTTTTTCGTGGTTTTTGATTACACGATGTCTGGGCGATTAGTTTTGATTGTTTTGTCTGTGTCGATTGTAAAGTCCCATAAAAATGTATAGGGCCTATCTCTGTAAACGGGTTCCAGTTTCTTGCAGTTTCCTAACGTTTAATTGTTGCATATTTTCCAGTGCAGATTTTGGTCCACTCTGTCATACCAAGTATATACATATTCAGTAGGTGCTAACACCGTGCAACCTGATATAATATCGTCAATTGTTTCTTGATATTTATCAAAAATTTGCATTTTTGGTAAACACAATTTTTCAATATGTGCGCTTGGTAATTCCTTGTTAGCAAGCATTTGTCCTGTGCAGCAAGAATAAAACTTTCTGTTTCAGTATTTAACTGCTGATGGATACGGGGTTTGACTACATCAGTTTGTTTGGTACGGACAGATTATAGAACATTATTAGTAGTAGTATTGTTTGAGAGAGGGGGAGGGAGTAATACGCCAATAAAATGACGCTTGGCTGAAAATGCAAGAAGTCAGTATGTGTGCTTGGTAATTTCTAGGTAGAAAGCATTGGCCCTGTACAAAAATTCGGTTTCAGCTTTTAACCGTGCTCCACATAACCACTGATGGATACAGGGTTTGTCTACATCGGCTTGTTTGGTATGGGCAGAGTATTGATCATGAAGAGGCTTATTTTGCTATCGTTTTTTTGCATTTGTTATATTGTTTTTTTTGTTTGTTTTTGTTTTGTCTTTGTTAGGTTCTTTGCCTCTGCAGTAGGTGTTTCATGGTTTATTTGCACTTCTTCAGCCACTTGAAGTTCCCTTTCGAATTTGTTGGATTCCTTTATTACTGAATAAAGTTTTTTTTTTAATTTCTTTCATGTTCTTTGACACATGTCATCATCTAGTCTTCTGTAGTTTCCACTTACCTATGAAGACCGATTGTTATGGTTTTGTAAGACAGTTCTAGTTGAAGTAATCCTCTACTTCCTTCAGTTCTGGACACATACAGACGATCAACATCAGCCTTAAAATGATGAATGTAATGGCAAGTGAAAAGCTTTATCGTTTTGATATCCATTCGCTTAATGTCAGCTATGCTCCAATTAAGGATGCTGAAACTGTATTGCGTCACAGGGAAGGGAAAAGAGTTTATGGCTGATATTTTGTTTTGTGAATTTGATGTTTGATACCGGGCCCATTCCTTTAGAATGTATTCTTACTTAGAAAAGAATAGGTATGCTGTATTCCATCTCTTTCGCTGACTCCTATGTATTTATAAGTTTCTTCTTGTTCTAGTTCCTTAATTTTTGTGACGAATCTAATTCTATTGCGTGTGTTTCTGTAATCCTAACTTTGTTGCTAACTATTGCGCATTTATCTAATCCGAAATCCGTAC